GGCTGCCGTCGCACGTGCGGGCGACCAGGGCAGCTCTTACGCACGTGGCTCGGCAACTGGTATGGGCAGACATCGGCTTCTGTGCCGAGACGGATACGGACACATCGCGGGCGAAGGTTGCAAAAATCCGCCCGCCCGCCCAGTTTTGCTCTCGGGCTTTGTCTTCGGCCCCAGGGCAGCCCCGAGCCGGCCACCCCAGGACAGCTGAAAGGTACCCCGTGACCATCCGATCCTGCGAGGACACAACGAGCCTCCACTCCCCAGAGGCTCCAAGATTCCCCCAATCGGGCTAAAAAGGACTGGGCTCAGTGGGGCCTGGTTGGCTGATGCGTGCTGGGGGTCACCACCCCCGCCCTTACGCCACCAACCAAGACGGCCAGCACGCTAAAAGCACTGGGTGCAACAGACCTGGTCAATGTGCTTTTTGACTTCGAGGCTGGCAACCCTTTCCTGGGGCCCTGGCTGTACCTGGCCAGACAGTCGATGTCCCGTGTAGAGGCTCCCAGGTGGGATTGGAGCACATAGCGTCGAAGGATCGCGCCGTATCGTCGATGCATCGGCGATGCATCGGCGATGCCTCGGCGACGTCGGCGTGGAGAAAACAATCAAGCTCCACATCGAGCCACATCGCCGATGCATCGGCGATGCGGCGCGATCCTCCGACACCTTTCGGGGATGGACAGACCTCCCTTTCGTAAAACGTGGTTTAGTGAAAACGACCCGAGGCCCAAACCTGGCGGGCGCAAGCCTGGAAAATGACGGCCGCGGCGCCCTCTCGAGAACCGAGAACGGACAAGTCACGAATCGACGTGTCACTGCTGGGGGCTCTGTCCACCCCCGAACCTTCTACAATCAGGTCGCAGGGTAAACAAGTGCGGTAAGGATGCAAGGGCCTTGGCCTTGCAGGGCCACGCTGGCATTGTCGAGAGAGGGGTCGGCCAGCGGAGGCCCCCGAGGGTGGGCCGCAGGGGGCAGGGATGCAGGGGCAGCCCGGGAGCACTGCTGTTCCTTACCAAGCGACTGGCCTCCAGTCCGACCGCACTTGGAAGGCCTCGAGCGTGTGCACTCCTCCTCCCTCCTCCTCCCTCCTCCTCCCTCCTCCTCCTCCTCCTCCTCCTCCTCCTCCTCCTCCTCCTCCTCCTCCTCCTCCGCCTCCTCCTCCTCCTCCTCCGCCTCCGCCTCCTCCTCCTCCTCCGCCTCCGCCTCCTCCTCCTCCTCCTCCTCCTCCGCCTCCTCCTCCGCCTCCTCCTCCTCCTCCTCCTCCTCTCCTCCTCCACGGAGGCCCCCGCGGCCCCCAGAGCACCCCGCAGGAGGCGCAGAGAGACCCTGGGGCTAAAAAATGAATCGAAGAGCTTTGGCTCAGAAGCGGCCACGGGGACTGCTCTGGCTGGGACCCTAGAAACTCGTGCAGGGAGGGGGATGAAGCCAAATCGAAATCGGGCCTCAGATCCCTCCTCGGGTCCATCTGGCACAACATTGTTCACCCCGGATTCGTTTCTGACGGTCCCGGGTCCCGAAAACGGCCCCAGTCCAAAAAAGGCAAAACAAATTCTCGAACCCACAACCTCGAACCCTTCCGGCTGGCCGGAACCAGTGCTTGGCCACCACAGACCCCCAGACGGCTCCAACCTTTAGCAACCCACGACGTGCTCGAGCTCAATGCCACGTCGCTCGGCCCTGGGCGACTCGGGAGGGCGCCGAAACGCGCTGGGCCTGGGCCAAGGCCTTGCCCCAAGAAAGCCCCTGACTGAGGAACGAAGCAGATCCGCCAGATTGGGTGAAGGATGGGCGCCCGAAGCGAAGCGAAGCGAAGCGAAGCGCGCAGATCCGTGGGAGCGGGGCCCTGAGGATCAGCCTGGGAGGCCCGGGGCGCTTAGACCGTGATGCAGGCGTTCACCCGAAAGCAAGCGTTCGAGGGGCGCCCGAGAACGCACCCAAAGCTTCGCCAGGGGAGCCCCGAACCGCCCTCGAAGCCAGGGTGGGCCGCGTCCTGGCCTGGTGCCTGCGAGCGCTGGAAAGGTGCCCGGTGCCCTACCGAAGATTTGGCAGGGGAGGGGCGGGACAGACTCGGCGCAGGAGCGTCACCCCTGATGGCCCCAAATGACACCCCTACTTACCAGCCTGGAACATATCCCTATCCCTATGCTGGGCACCTCCTCATCACGATGTCAATCTTAGGGATTCCCTTCTTTTCTGAAGGCGAATCCCTAAGATTGTCATCGGCCTTTTGGCGTGTCAATCTTAGGGATAGGGATACGTTCGAGGCTGGTACTTGGTAGTCCCCAAACGTGGTGGTGACAACACCTGGCGGTGAGTCTCGGGCGATTTGGTGTCACCACCCGGTTTGGGGACCCGTGCGGTTTTCCGAGGATGTCCCGAACATTGGTGGGTCCAAGAGTCACAAGACCCGGCGGTGAGCCCGTGTCCCAAAACCCGGGGGTGACTTTTTGGGGGATTCCAGGTCGCCACCTGGCATCTCACCACCCGGTTTGGGGGTTCCCAAGCAGTCCCTGGCAGGCTGGGCGCCGGGACCCGGGGTGGGGGAAGGGGAAGAACGAGTAGGAGGAGGAGGAGGAGGAGGAGGAGGAGGAGGAGGAGGAGGCGGAGGAGGAGGAGGAGGAGGAGGAGGAGTAGGGGAGGAGGAGGAGGAGGAGGAGGAGGAGGAGGAGGAGGAGGAGGAGGAGGAGGAGGAGGAGGAGGAACGAGCTCTCGGCGGCCTCCGAGGCCTGCTCTCGAGCGTGGGCCGCTCCCCCAAACCCCACCCCCAGTCGCGGCACCCCCTCGGCAAGTCTGCCTTGCCCTCGGGGGTGGGGGCGTGTCATGCCCAGACCCCCGACGGGATCATGCGTTCACAGCGTCGATCCCTATGGAAGCCTCCGCCTCTTCCCCGGGGCCGGCCTCTCCTGCCAGGTCGTCCTTCCACGGTCCCGGGGCCTGGGTGAAGGCCCCCCGAGGCGAAAAACTGCAAGAGAACATTCCGTCATTGATTCTTATGACACGAAGTACTCCAGATTTCGTATTAAAAGGGAGGGGGTCTGGACCCTCCAAGACAAGCCAGTTCAGACCTCCCCCGTGGGAGAACCCTCCAAAACATCGTCCCCAGACCCCCCCAGGCACTCCAAGATAGCCTGGAAGAGACCCCCCCCGAAATGAGACCCCCCTCCTTTTATTACGCAATCTGGAGTTAAACTGGGGCGCGGGTGGGGGTGTCACTGTGGGCTGCGAGCCCCAGAGGGCCCCCAGCGCAGGAGCGGCCCAGGGCAAACGGGACCCCTGGCGCGAAGCCCCGCGCCCCCAGGGCAGAGAGCACCCACAGAGGAATCGAAAGTCCGTCGAGTTCGGTCGAATCTGAGCGACGATCAAAAACGGGTTTCGCGCGAGATGACGTGGCGATACCCGGTGGCTTACCTGGGCCGCCCGCGCGGCACGCCAGGTTTGAAGCGAGGGCGCTCATGCGCGAGCTCACGTGGGCAGCTTACGCGCGAGTGCCGGCGCCGACGTGTTTACGGCGAGCTCACATGAGTTCGAACTGGAGTCGAACTACAATCGAACTGGGGTCGAACTAGGGTCGAACTGAAGCCGAACTGAAGTCGAACAGATCCCTCAGGCGAGCCCCGAGAAGGTCCCCGAAAAAAATCTAAGAACAACAAAACTCATAATGAGCACCCCGGCAAGCGAAGACGTGCTCCAAAGGGAATCGAACATGGCAGGGCTGCTCCGTAAACGCCAGGGGGCGGTTGAAAAGAAACGCCGAGTCTGCCCCCCCTCGGGCAGAGAAGCCGCGGACCAGAGGTCGCTCGGGAGCAAGGGGGAAGCACTCCCCGCACGCCGCCGCAAAACCTGGCGGCCCAGGGCGCAAGCCTGGCGCCTGCAGCAACGAACAACAGAGTTCCCCCCGGGCGCCCCCTCCGCCTCCTCCTCCTCCTCCTCCTCCTCCTCCTCCTCCTCCTCCTCCTCCTCCTTGTCGTTGACCTCCTCTTCCTCCTCCTCCTCCTCCTCCTCCTCCTCCTCCTTCTCCTCCTCGTCGTTGACTCCTCCTCCTCCTCTCTCCTCCTCGTCACCTCCTCCTCCTCCTCCTCCTCCCTCCTCCTCCTCTCCTCTCCACCTCCTCCTTGTTGACCTCCATCCTCTCCTCCTCCTCCTCCTTCCTCCTCCTCCTCCTCCTCCTCTCCTCCTCCTCCTCCTGCTCCTCCTCCTCCTCCTCGTCCTCTCCTCCTCCTCCTCCTCCTCGTCGTTGACCTCCTCCTCCCTCCTCCTCCTCCTCCTCCTCCTCCTCTCTCCTCCTCCCTCCTCCTCCTCTCCTCCTCCCCTCCTCCTCCTCCTCCTCCTCCTCCTCCTCCTCGTCGTTGACCTCCTCCTCCTCCTCCTCCTCCTCCTCCTCGCGGGCCACTGCGCATGCCGCGAGGAGGCCGACGGACCCGCCACAAGGCTGGGGGGCCTGCCCCCGCGCGGCCGGGCCGCGCGGCCCCAGATGCGGAGAGGCTGGCCTCTGCACACCGAAAACGATCCTGGCCGGGGCAGGTCTGGGCCCAGCATGGGCCTGGGCGTAAGTCGGGCCTGTCCCCCTACAGGGGGATGTTCAACGAAACATATAAAAGATACCCCACAAATAGTCAAAACATAGTCCAAAGATAGTCTGGGCACTAGTTTTTGAGTATTTGTGTGCCCTTTTGGGGCATTGTTGGGGTACTTTTTGTTTTTCGTCGAAAATCCCTTTGTAGGGGAGACAGGCCCAGAGTGGGTTTGGGCAGGATCGGCGTGCGCACATCTGGCCATCGTTCGGTTTTTTCGGTTTCGTGCGTGGCTTTCTCGCCAAAGGATCAAGGATGCTCCCCGATGGTCCTCGCCGAGCGATGCCAAGATATAGCGTGGGGGGACAAACAATATCGGTACCCCCGTTCCTCGGACCTTTCCCAGGGTGCCTTCTCACCAGGGTTCCGCGGCGAATCTGGCCGTGGCGGCGGTGGCATTCGACGAAAAGGGCATCGGGGTGAGCATCC